TCTTGTAATCTTCTATTATCTAGTAATTAGTTTATTCACTGCATTATATTTCAGTTTACGTTCAATTATCGTCAATTAAATCACCGTCAATCACAGCTGATTTTCTGTGATCTCTGGTTATATTTTATTAGTAAAGCATCTCCCACACATGCTAGTCTCATCGTGACAAGTTGTCTAGCAAGTGACAATTCAGCCTTTCAACAGTTGCCATGAACCTGACATTACAGCCTTCTTCAGAAGAACCCTGAACTCTCAATCTTCAGTAAACATAACCAAAAGTACATTAGACCATCAAACCTTCCCTTAATTTTCTTTATGTATTATTGAGATTCCAAAGAAAGATATCATTTTTTTTGTTATGTATGCTGTGTTGACTGAAATGTTTTGATTTTAAACAGGTTTTTTCTTGGCTACAGCTAGTTTATGGGGAGGATCCCATCCCTCAGTTTGAAATCAACACTTTTACGTTGAGCGTCCTAGAGCAACTTGCCAGAAGAAATCTAGAACAGAACAAACATGCTGAAATTATCACCAAGGATTACATCCAAAAAACAGCAGAATACTCTGCTGAGGGTAATTGTTAATTTTACAATCTTATTTGTTGTTGATATACATGGTATAAATACTATGTATATTCTGATAGGCTTAAAGTAATTCTTTTCCTTTTTCCTTCAAGTGACCAAAATATTTTTGCCAGCAGAACAAGAAGATTGTCTGTTAAAAGATTGTCTGCCACAAGTTATAGTCAAGTTGTCTGCAACTTGAGAATAGCAGAAAAATTTCCACGGTTTGGTATCATGTAAATTATATTTTAGGTTTTCATGGTTTGAGAGAACTCACAGTAGGTGTGGAACTATGTGAAACTGTTTATTAATAGTATTTGCTTTGTGTGTAATCAGTTGAAAGGCTAAGTAGGATAACAGAGCAAGTGGGTTTACCAGTATCCAGCATGTCACAGTCAGGACGAATGAGCTTGAAAACCCTTACATCTCTGGCCCAGTTGCTTGGCACTAAGAATTGTTCCACATCAAGGTATGCCTTATCAATTTTTGCCGCTAAATTTATATTAGCAAATAATAAAGGATTGTGAAGGTAATAAACTCTACTCTTTCTTTACTGCTAGAAGTTCTCCTGTGTTCAGTCTTTTGTTAGGGATTGCAGAACAAAGCCAAGCCCTGTTTGCAGCAATTGATGCGAACACAGAAGAGAAACGACTTCTTTCCAGACTCTTGGTGAGGACCAAGAAGGCAAAAACTACTGCCTCTGACTTACAAAGGTATGCAGCTTCAGATTGTTGTTTTGCCTGCCTCAGTAAATGAAACTTAACATGTTCCTTTGTAAAAGTTGCATACATGTCATTGTGATTGATTGTACATTTCTAGGTCCCTTGATGGTCTTCAGGATCAAGTAGCCTTACAGACTCCGCAGCTGAAGAAAAACTCTCAAGAAACTGAATTTGTGAAACTGAAGTGCAAAGAATATGCAAAACTCAACAAGGAACTTGAGGTTCAATTCATAATAATAGTTTGAGTAATTGTAGTATATTGATAAGCCACCAATTTTTTGTTAGCTGGAGTATCAGCATTTACTGTTACTGTTAATGATTTACCTTCTATTCTCTCTAAAGTGAACCTTGCATAGTGTTATACATGTAAGTACATTAATTAGTTTCTCCTCTCACTTTTAATAGGCATATCAAAGTCAAGTTCAGTTAGATTCTTCAATCTACCATGGATCCCTTGTCAAGAAAGCTGAGGTACATGTAGAAACACAGCTTTGTCCATCCATGAAATTCTCTCCTCAACAGTGAAGTCTGCATACAAGCCAAGTGGCCCATCAGGCCAGGGCTTATCTCGGTTTCTGTAGCATGAAGCAACTAGGAGTAATTCTACTCCTCCCTGGATGGGATGCTAGTCCATCGCAGGGTTACCCCCAGCATTAAGTTTGCTGGTACCCATTTATACACCTGGGTGGAGAGAGGCACTGTGAGAGTAAAGACAAAAGTGTCTTGCCCAAGAACACAACACAACGTCCCCGGCCAGGTCTTGCACCCAGACCACTCAATCTGGAGATGAGCACACTAACCATGAAGTCACGGAACCTCCCTCTCCTCAACATAATACTGGTGAAAAGGAGAGACTCTCAGATCAAAATCGCATGCATACATGCATACTTCGATACCAGTTTTACATGTATCTAGACATCTAACTTGCCATATATATGTGATGTATTGAAATTCAGCCTAACACAATAGGCCTCAGCAACCCCACAAACTCTGTAGTTATTCCCCAGAGCCTCGTTCTGAGGTCTATTGTTTTAGGTTGAATTTTAATATATCAAAATTGGTCCATTGTATTTGACTTCAACTTCAACTTACTTTATTGTGCACTATCAACAGGGTTTACATTATAAGAACAATTTGACACTGACCTAACTTTAAGTTCACCAAAATTATTAAAATCTGTTATTGCACTCCATCTATCTCCAGTCTTTTAATTAGCCATTCTTGTTCTGTTCATTTGATTGTTACATTTTGTTGTGTTCACAAAACAAAATCCATTTGAATTTGCAGGAAGTAAGACTAATCAAGGAAAAGATGAAACCAATAAAAAGCAAGTTAGAAGGTTACCACAGCCTACCACCAGTAAGTATTGCTTTTGAAACAAGAGCTATTTTGATTCATTAGAAAGTGTTTGTAACCCAGCATAAATCAGTCACAAGATGATAATTATCATCCTTGTTAGTGTTTAACTTATGACTCATTGAGAGAATCTTAATTCCAGTTTGAATGCACAGTCAACAATGTGTATCTCTCAGTACCTAATTCTTATTGTTATGTGTCTCACTGGCAAAACTTGGCATAAATTTTTTTTAGGATATTTCTCAGGCTAGAGTTAAAGTTGAAGAAGCAAAGATGCAATTGGTATGTTTCATTGATAATTTTTTGTTTCATCCTACATGTCTGAAGATGCTTATCATAACCTTTCAAAGGACATTGAGAATACTTAATAATATTGCTTACTGCTTTGTTCTGATGATAACACTGTTTTGTTAACAAATTTATTGAAATTAATGCTCATATTTTGCATTCTCAGGAACTCTTAGAGAAACAACTATCAATCAGTATAGACACACTTCACTTGTGATATCTGTTGATGTGGTCCCCGTTGTTATTGTTGTCAAGTGCAAGAGGACTGAAAATAAAGAATCTGCATCAAGTCCTACTAGAACATATCACCCTAGTGCGATGCTGGTTTGAAATGGTACTAAGATGTGACAGAACCAAAAGAAGTTTGAGTGAGGGTTGCTGAGCCAAAAATGATGTATCTTGATTATGACAAGTTGGCATGTGGCCCTCAAGCAGCTTGTGCCATTAAATTCTTCACTAGTCATGAAATGGCAGGTCTTCATACTAGGATTTATCAAGAGTGACATCTGTTCCAGTGGTGTACCTTGACTCTCTTGACAGGCATATGTATGCAAACCAATGGTTTTGTACCACAAAAAGTGCTGAACTCTGCAAGATATCACTAGAGGATTATTGGTCACTGCATAGGGAACCTGACATTTAATGCAGTAAGAAAACGTAGCAAAATTGAAGTAGTTTGAACTTATTTCGAGATGACTTACAAATTAAAAAAGTTTAGCTTTGTGATATAAATTCTGATTCTCAATACCATGACAGCTGAGCCTGTTATGTAAAAGCAACCACTGGTTTATTACCCCAGTCCAGTAAGACTTCTGAATAGCAAGGACTGCTGAATTTCAATCACAAGTCCTGTGACAGTACAAGACAAACTATCGAGCCAATTCAGCATATTTATTCATAATAATAAAAAGTTCTCACACACCTGTACAATATTTCAACACACTCAGTAAGTATCTCATTTAACAATATAGGTTATTATCAATAAATATTGCACAAACTTTCAATAAGATAGCAGATATTGATATCTTAAATTCAAAATACCTTTAGGAAAAAATTCCATTATTTGTCTTTAATTAAATAAGAAAAACCTAGTTCTGAAAATACACAGTCAAAGTTATCAAGTCTGATTTAAAAATATTATTAAAATGATTCTGCCCATAAATTTTTACATTCATTTTCAGAAAAGGTGGTTTAGCTTCTATTGTGGCTGTCGGTATATTTTTATTTAGCAATATATTATTTAAGCAGCTACAATAAAGAAATAATTTAAGGCTATTGACATTAGCTAAAGGTAATGCTGTGTTTTTCAACAAAGTCAACATGCATTGTAGCAAAAACCCTGTGGCTGTAATAATTATGTGTAGTTGCCTTTGTAAATTTTGGTCATCTATCTCAGAGTATTTGGAAGTCAGGATTGCATGGTTGTCATAGGAGTATGTCTTATCTAAGAACAAGGTGTACACAGGGAAACATTTTTAGACAAAGCATGTTAAACCACAGAAGTTCATGTTACTGTTTATAAAAACTAGTGAAATAAAAATGCCTCCAAAAGTACAGTTAAAAAAGTGCTAACTAAAGGAGTTAAACTTACAAATATTTTTGCAATGTATGATTCAGTTTATAGTTCAAATCCTGGATAAAAATAATATGGCCTTGCAAAACATTTATCCAAACATTTTCTGTTGTAGTTAAAATTAAATAAAAATAGTAGAGCAGTCAAATCTTCCAAACATTGGCACAAATGCAAGTAAATTCAATATTATCTGTTCTAGGAATTCTAATCAGTGTCTTCTAGCAATACGTATCCACTGATCAGAGGTTACAATAGTGTTCATGTTAAACAAAACCTCAAGAAAAAGCAATAAGTTTCTTATGTCCATTAGTTACTAGGTTGTTGCCAAGTGACACTGACTGACCAGACAAAAATCACGTCCCAGACAAAAAAAAAGTCAGATTAATAGTGTAGTTCTTTTTTTTAAGGATTACTTTGAAAACATAGCCAGAGAGATACTGTAGCATCAGACAGCCCCGTTTCATCCTGGGTGACTCAGTGTCCACATACCAGAAGTGTCTTTTAACTGTATTGGTATAACAAGGCAAAGATTCATGAAACAAATGCTCTTGTTTTTTGTGCCTGCCCCATCTGTTTCCCTGTTGATTTTGGAGTCCCCTTTGCTTTCCTTGCCTCTTTTGTGTGCCATCTCTTTAGGCATTGTTTCTCGTGGATTGAAATTGAGGCAGACCCATACTCACGACCACAAAGATAACAAACAACCAATGCAGGCTTACATGGCGTAAAGCTTTCCTTTTCTTGTGGTTCATCTGCCAAACTGGCTTCTTCATTATGAAACGTTCCCAGCTCTGGTGTTAGTAGGTCACCATAACTCCCACTTTTCTGTGGCATTAGCATTTCTTTGTTATTGTTCTCTTCGACACGATCAATTTTTATTGTGACAGGCAAGTGAATTGAGTTTCTTTTCTTTGATTGTTTCTCTTTCTGTGACTTCTCTTTAGCTTCTGACTTTTTCTGTGCCTCCCATTTTTTCAGACATTGTTTTTCATGGATTGGCAGAGAGTGTGTGGTAAACTGTTTACCACAAATATAACAAAGAACCATCTTTGACACTTGCTGACTTCCTCTGGACTGTTTCCTCTTGTTGATGCTGCTATCAAGGAGATTGTCACAAGATGCAGAGCGAGGTTTACTTTGTTTCAGCACTGGTGAGGAAGCAAGGGTTGTATTTCTCTGAGGGCTTTGTGAATAGATATCATGACTTGTTAGGGAAGTAACTGAACTTGCTTTACTAAGTCCATTTTGTCGACCACAAGGGCTGCGGGAACGTTTGGGATTGGCAAGGCGCCATTTCTTCAGGCACTGAGGCTCGTGAATTTTCAAGGATTTAGATCCATATTCACGTCCACAGATATAACAAACTTTCAAATTTGGGTTGTTTGACAAGGAGAAATTTGCATCAGATGAAGATATTTCCTTCCCAGTTCCTGAGTCAGATGATCCAGATAATGATTCTGGTGAATCATCCCTGTTTAGAAAAGTAGGCATTGCGTACTTGGCCCTCCCTGGTCTCGCACAAGTATTGTCATCTGTCTCTTTAGATACAGTGTATGTGGCTTCACTGCACTTGTCAATGTCTTCCTCATCTGATGAGTTTTGCTCTGTAGAGGAATGTGACTGCACTTCTAACCTCTCTTGTGTGCTAAGTTCACAAGAAGAATGAGACATGTGTCCTGATAATGTGGCAGTCCCTGGTCTCAATAATGGAGTAGTAGTGGCCAGTGACTTTGAACGCTCTTTTAGCAATTTTTGTCCCTGTTCGAAGTCTTTAATGGTGACAGTATTGGGTCTTTGGTCAGACAGACCTGTCTGTAATGAGCCTCTTATGTCATCCATGCTTAAACTTTGCTGTCTGTCGAAGGTGGGCAAGTCAGGAAGAACTCTTCGCTTTCGAGGCTCGTATGAAGATTTTCTTTTCGGCTGTTGCTTAGCCTCTTCTTGTTCCTTCTGTTTTGTCATCTCCCACCTTTTGGCACATTGGCGTTCGTGAACGTTAATGGAGTGTGAACTGAATTCCCTCCCACAAATATAACAAACCACTGTTTTCGGTTTCGGCATGGTGGATTCGGTCTTGCAGTAACAGATTGTTTCCAACTGAAGGAAAAAAAACATACTGAAAGGTTAATATTTCCCTACTGTGCAGAGCATGTGAAGTTTTAGCACTGACCGATCACTTCAATTTTAGTACATCTACAGTGTACCTCATTAACGCTTACCGATTACGCCTCTTGAACTTTTAATTTTCTGTTTGCCATTAGAAACAATAGCAATATTCTCATCGAGACAGCGAAGAATAAACAGTTCCTCTTTGTATAACTCACTTTGCATAAGCAATGTGTCCGAACAACACAGAAACGGGAAAAAACTCAATGTTTTAATTAGGGAACGTTACTGAAAACCCAATTGAAAACCCTCAGAACAATTTTACTGTAAATTCGGTCGTGCCTTATCAGATATTCCTTGATGAGGGTACATAATAAATATTGAGACAAACGGAACAAACACCATCCAAGACAGAAAATCCGTGCCTCAATGGCTTCTAGTATCGTACTATATACACACAAACATTACGCTCAGCGAACTGACGCTAAAATTGAAAGCTGGAAGGGCCCCAACATTTAATAAACTCCGTAGATTTTTAGTGGATTATTAAATTAACGAGCAAGCGAACTTACTGTGTTGCTGTCTGTACGCCACACGGAAAATTGCTTCAGGAGCCTTCTTCCTTGCTTGTTATGCTAACAATTACGCTAGAAGAGAATTTCAACTTGCAGCTTCGCTTTATGTGGTCACGGGTGGTTTACAGAGAGGCAGCTGCCCTATCACCTGACTTTATAGTAACAGAAGGTTGCTGTGCGAGAAGATGAGAACGAAAGCGTGGATGAAGTCACGATAAAAATATGGAGGGACTATTTTCCCGTATATTCGACCAGCGCCAGTAAATAATCGCCTCTGGCCATAAAATGGACAGGGCTCGTTTCCTAGGAACGAAAATTCTTTCTCGACAGGTGCGGTACTACGGTAACGAAGCAAATAACTAATAACTCTTTCCCATTCATTTCACCAAAGCCGCTCGCGTGTAAACAACAAATTCTCACCGGAAGTGAAGTTACACGCTAAGAATTATTAGATTCCAAGCCTTCGCTTCCGGTCCGTCCAAGATGGCGGACGCCCCTGACTCAGCTCCGAAAGCTAAAACTAAAATTTGTCGATTCTTCAAGGGCAAAAAGGGTTGCAAGTCTGGAAATGAGTGTCAGTTCTTACATCCAGAAAATGCATCCAATGATTCTGAAAATATTCCACGAGAGGCTGGTAAAATGATTGATGATAAGAAGAAACCTGATATAAAAGTGATCAAAACGTCACCGACAGCAAAAACTTGTAGGTTCTTCAAAAGCAAAAGGGGTTGCAAGTTTGGAAATGAGTGCCAATTCTTACATACAGAGAAGCCACCCGATAAACTGGGAAGTATTTCAAAGGAGTTTGGTATATTAGATGGTAATCATGAGCAAGCTGATGAACTAAAAGTAAGCTTAAAATTATCAGCAACACCAAACAATGAAACTCTGGGTGAAGAGAAGAGAGTGGAAGTAGGTAAAGATTCTTCAAATCGGCAAGGGATTGTTTGTAAATTCTTTAAGAAAAAGAAAGGCTGCTTAAGAGGCAGCAGGTGTCCCTTTTCCCATGTAATTTCTGGTGATGGTGCAACCTTAAAGCCTCTGGCAAAAGAAGTCTTGAAAAAAACAAGTAAGTCTACTTCAAGAAAACAGATCCCTTGTCAAAGCAAAGAGAACACCAAGTCTGTAACTGATACTGAACAGGTAACTAAACAAATGGAATTAGTCAATCTGCAAGTGGAAAATCAAAGTAAGGAACATGGAAAGGAACATAACAGAGGCGCAAATGGACAAGGGATTCAGTTGCCACCTAATACAGATGAGTCAGCAAAAGGCACGGGAATGGGCCTCATGGATTGTAATCTTGAATGTAAGAGACTTCGGTCAATTGAGATACAGCAACTTAAGAGGCGTTTTGGAGGTAAAGGTGATTACTGCGAAATCAAGGAGAGCACTTCTTACAAGGTTAAGTTCAAACCTACGGATCCTGACTGGGTGAGATTTACATTGTTCTCATGTTTGAGACTACATGTAAATTAAGGATGTTTGCGCTAATTGTTTCTGTGCATCCTTACTGCGCATGCAAATTCACGCCACGTCATGCATGAGAGCGTGCACTAAGTAACAAAATGAACAATGATAGGGCAGATGATCATTACTATAGCTTTGCCTGGATTTAACGATCTTGGACGTTCAGTTACCCCTACTTTTCTTTCCAGAAACAGATTTTGTTTACAATTATCTCCACATTGTCCAAAAATGAACAAAAAAGCAATATGGGAAGTTAAAAAAAATTCAAGATTTCTGTCCACAGGACACCGAATCCTGTCATCTTGCGGCTGTAAGGCGCGTGAAAGTTTGGTCGCTAAATGCGCACTTGTTCTTTAAGGAACCTCTCCAGTTGACTAAATTCACTCAGTAGGTCCACTTAAACAATATTTGGCAGAGAACATTTCATTTCAAAGATCTAATTGCAATATATTTGAGCATATAGACACTGTGGCCTTTTTCGTTAACAAAGCCCGATTTTTTTTCAGATTTAGGATGTTCTTCCGGGCATGTTCTCTCCAAAACGAAGTCGGTGACCCCCCATTTTTTTTTACATTTCTGACATAATTAACTCATCATCTTACAGTGGTAAAAGTCTCAAAAAATCAATGTTGGAAAATTTTCGCGCTAACATCCTTAAGTACAAGTAGGACTTTCCAGATAGTCGAATCAATGTTGTTGCCAGAGACTTCACTCCTCTTACTTGCTTTGGAACCTCATATTCTTACTTTGTCTCCTATTCTCCAGAAGGGATCATTTTTTGTTTATCACACATTGGAAATTTAGGGCAAAATTCCGGGTAAGGGTAATTCGTCTTCAGCTTCCCTTATTGATGAGGCCATGTTAGGAGAGGGTACCCATGTCCCTTGTCTGAAATTTGCCACCAGCCATGTCGGCATTTCGCATGTGTTGCCTGTCGGAATTTCGTCTCAGAGGAATTGTGTCAGGAAATTTGACCTTGTTCGATTAAAATGAAGCTATAACACGTTGTAATACCTTTGTTTATTAAAAAAAAAAAAACCGACACAGTGCTCTCAAGTCTCCTGCACTGAGTGAGCATGAGTCTCACGCAAACAAATTCGATCTTGCGCTGTCACGCTGAAACTATTCTTTCTCACGCATTGAAGGTTCCTTGCTGTTTTAGTCAAGTACATATAAAATTATAATTAAGTATCTCTTCAGATATAATTTACTCCTTGAATGTTTTGCACTTGCTTTGAACACTTCTCAGCAGTAAGAACTCTTATGCAGAGCCAGCATTTCTCCAGTCAGTGGGTTTAATGGTTACTTTATGGTTATTTTTAAAGCATCACATTTCGACTCAGAATGAAGGAAAAGATTCCTTAGTTACTTGAATTTTTCAAGATTTTCTAAGGGGCTGGGGGCATGCTGGGGGTATATTGGGGGCATCCTTTCTAAGGGCTTGGGCATGCTTTCAAGCACTGAAGTTGCTAACCTCCTAGGGGATGTGGGGGCATGCTCCCCCCCAGGAAATTTTGAAATTTAGACGGTTGGAATTGCTATTTTCAGCCTTTTTCCAGTCAGTAATAATTTGGACCTAAAGTACAATCGAACCTATGACTATTTTTACCATGTTTATGTTAAATAACCGTTCTTTAACTCAAAATCTCAACGGCCTCAATCAGATAATCTCTCCTATCTATAATCTTCCTTTGAATTTGGTGTAACCCTTACCTTCTACTGAAGACAAGAAGACCTTGGCAGCTTTCCCCTGTCTCTCTTTTCCTAGTTGATAATACAGCTTCATATTCTTTTACTGGTGGCCCACTAATAAAAATATGAAGCCGACTTTCAAAGATCTCTTTCCTTTTTCCTTAAGCGTGTTTTTAGGTGTTTTAGGACACTACTCACTCAGCTGAGAGTGAGAAAAAATACTCAGCGTTTTAGCGTATATAAGAAAGCCTGGGTTTCACGACCCATCGACATTGCACATGAGAGAGGAAACACATTTAAAACTCTGGAAATCATCTTCACTTCGAATCAGACGTTTAAAACAATCACTGTATTCTCAGTTCCGAAACTCATTGTCGGTCTATCTTGCCATTGGTGTCGCTTTCCCTATTTCGCTGGAGTAGTCTTTCGTTCGTCGCCAATTCATAGCTCTCATGTCGCCGTTTCAACGCCATGTCACTTGTCGTAATTTACCCCCAACAGGGGCTCATTGATGGTTTGCAACAACTTCAGTTGAAATCTTCAAGGATCCTGTACAAATTGTATAGGATCGAACAGGATCTTGTGCTGGAAGCTTTAAAATCAGACAGGATCCCATAGGATCTTAACAGGACCTGTGTGAAGAATTTCTAACAGGCCATTCCCTGAAGATTCAGTGAAACAAAAGTCATGGACAAACACATAAAATAGCAACGTGGGGTTGTGAAATCACCCAGCATGGACAACATTTCCATTCTCAAAAGATGCCAATTTCTATGAAACTTTGTTTATAAAGGAGATTAAATCATCACATAAGATGCAATCAAACTTGGTTCACATGAAGTTATTTGCTGATGATTAGTGCATATGCTTAATAATACACATGCTCTTCTTTCTTTTAACCAATTATAGTCATTCAGCATTGAAGCAGTGTATCTTACAGTGAGTTTCCCGGAAGATTATCCATTACAGGTGAGTATAGCATAGACTAGTTAACAATTATTCCATGAGCTCGCATTGGATGTGAGATGGTAAATAGCCAACCTGAAACGCGTAGCATGGAGTAAGCTATAATTATCTTATATCCAACAAGCACCAGTGGAACAATTGTTTTATTAAAAACACCCCCCAAAACTAAACTAAAATAGAAATGACCCAAAAAAAATTATGTCTATGGTTGCCATATTTGTAGAGCATGGTACAATGGCCCATACACCATTTTGGCTAAGCCAATGAAAACTCTGGAAATGCATTATCCAATGATCCAGTTTTTAATAAAAGGAACAGGCCACATGGGTATTCTCTGTATTGGACTTGAACTAGCTTGCAACTGAGGCTAATACTGGGAGTCTTTTCAAATGCAAAAGAAGATTAATCTCTTGAATGATATTCCCTACATGAGCCTCCATTGCAAGTTTGTTCCTGTTCAATACCAAGAATGTGAATAAATTATGGCCTATTAAGGTACAACTTTGCCCTCTTTACACGTGTATACACTGCAACAGTACTGAAGCCAACTGTTTTAATTTGGAATTTTTTCTGGTCATTGTTGAACAGGACAGTTAACTGTCATGGCGCTTGTCTCTGCCATGAGTATAAACCAGTTTCAGCTAGAATTCCATCCAGTTCAGGAGCGTTAGCATACTCCTAGTTGCTTCATCCTATAGAAAGTTTTGTTAATCAGAAGTCTGAGATTTGTTACTAGGATAAGAACATAATTCGCTTTTAACTGACAGTCAACCTACTCAAGTAAAAAGGTAATTAAAAGTCTTTTGGAAGACTGGTAGCACAGAAAAGTTATTCACATATTCCTATGTGTAAGCTGTGTTACAATACTAACGATTCTTTTATCTCTAGATTTTTCACGCATATTTATCTGAAGAACAAGGCCTTGCTGAAGACATTATCAAGTATGAAATGATCAATCTTAATTTTCAAAAATTACCATTTTGGTTTTGCCTAACAGTTCCATGCAGCCCACAGTATGGCTTAAGTTATAATTACTAAATAAATATCTGTCTTCTAAGGTGACAATAAATGTTAAAAGGCCTACATGTAGATAGTATTTTGCGATGGAATCCTTCTCCTCTTACAGTCAACTTTGCTCTTCTCGAGACCAAAGAGCAGAAGCTCCTTACTTGTAGATGTTAACGTTACATTTTGCAGATTGTTGACATTTATTTCTCACTAAAAACTACAGTTGCACTATGATGCAGAACTAATTTCGTATCTAAATCTTCTCTATCCATTTAAGATTTGCTAATAAAAAAATCCAACAATGGGCATTGAATCAAGAGGAAATAAGTAATGATCAAGGACTTTTGAAGCTGTATTTTCGCCCATTTCTGCGTTGGTTTGACAGAAACTTAGAATCTCTTTTCGTTGATGGTGGAAAGGAGGTAAGGACAACTAAGCTCTGTATGTAGTAGTGATCAAGGAATTTGAAGTTCGGTAATGAAAGTATGATTGCCATCATACTTGCACAGTGTAGATGAGAGATGAGATGAGACTTAATTGAACACTCCCCTCAGTGTATTACAAGGTTATTGCTGGAACTGAGATCAAGAAAAACCTGCACACAACAACCCATGGTTCTTGCTTTTTTTGCCAGTGAAATGGCTACCAAGGCAAAGTCCTAGACCAAATGGCAATGACAGAGTCACTGTTCAAAGACTTGAAAATCATCAGATATATCAAGATGCAATTTTCCTGTCATCCACTGTAAAACCTTTTTGGAATTGGTTAAAACTCCATTTCACTGGCAGTGTGGCCAATAGATGAAACCAGTTACTGTTTCTAGAAAGGATAATTTGCATTTGGTGGGGTTCAGATGTGCTCTTCTCAGATGTATTTAAACTTCATGAAATTGCTCTGCTTTATCCTTTTGATAGGTCACAATAAATGCCCGATCTTTGCTATTTTTGTGAGCCTTTAAAATGTGGATGGTGTATTCCTAAATCCAAAAGGCATAAAAGTAGACTGGTCGATAAATACAGTTTTCTGTCACAAATGTGGTTTTGGTGGAAAAAGGGTATTCCTCGTCACCTTACATGTACCAAAAATTTACTGAAATTAATAAAGAAAATGTAGGTGGGCAATGCATTGGGTCATAGTAAGGGCAGGATTAGCCTGTTTGTTGTTGTCACTGTGTTAGCCTTTGGGGCCAAATATGTTAATGCAATTTGAATACAAACAGACTAGCCAGTGTGAATAACCATTCCCTTGATGGTCTGTTATCCTTTCTTTGTTGTTATTACGCAGATGAGAAGCAAATATGTTTCAAGCATCACATCATGTTCCACCATTGTACCGGATTTGGCCACTGGTCGAAGACCAATCAGTAAACATGTAGAAGACAATGGCTGTGAAAGTCCCCCTAGTTGTAAACAAATTGACATTAAACTTGTGGAAAGAAATCAAAATAATGAACCATCAGAAAGTCGTCAGACATTTGAAAAAGAGACTGGCAAAAGAGTGCAAAGTTTGTCTAATGATATGGAACATAAAAGTTGTAATTTAAAAGGCATGCACAGTGATACCCCACAAACATCTACCAGTGACACTATTGATAGAAACAAGGCAGAAATTAACAATTTGAAGCAAGTAGATTGCAAGGAAGGTGCATCTTTAACTCTAAGCAAACAGGATTTGAATTCTGAACTTGGTGTTTTAAGTGAAGACACAGCTCAGTCAAATCAATCAGAACCTCAGTGCAATGATTCAGTTGCCTCAAGCCCTATTAGAAAAGGGACAGAAATTCAGTTTAGGGGACTAAATTTGGAAGAGAATGTGAGCACCTTAAGAGGAAGCAGAGTAGTCTTCACCCTAGAGTGTAACAGGTGCAGGCAGAGGATTGATCAACGGCTGTCGGTGTCTGGGTATGTATGCAATACAACTACAACTTGTCATTTGTGTTTTGAAATCTTGATTCTTGTGAACCAAGTTTGAGGACTGCATGTGATAATTATTAGAGGGTGAGAGACTAGGAGATGTCAGAATAACAAATATTTTTTCCTGTTACAGACCTGTCAGTAAACAGTGTACCAGATGTGCATCTGTTTTTGCTGTGAACTATAGGTCAGCAATGATTCATCAGTTTTCATCTGTTTTGGGATACTTGGACTTGGATGGGTAAGTTACATAGAAGGTAGATTTATAGAACAAGCACTCTCACTGGTCCATGTTTTGTCAAGTGACAGTTACAAGATTCAAAACAATGTGTTCACTTAAAGCAATTTGATAATTGCAGTTCATAGAAGCAATGCACAGTGCAGGCCCCAGTTGCTCAAAGGTTGTATAACACTATCCACTGGATAAATCACAATCCAGTGGATAGTATAGTTTGTTTTGCCAACACTTATCCACTAGATGGTGATTTATCCAGTGGATAGCATTATCCACCCTGTAAAAAACTGGGGCCAGTTTGTTTGGATTTTTCAATTATTATCAGCACACTTATTGATTTACATGTAGCAATGTAATTCTTTTCCCTGGAGGAGGGAAATAAGGGAAAAAAGATGATACAAGGGAAAACAGAATCATTTGTCTTGAGAGGATATTAAAATTGTATTTATTTAGTACTTGACTGTTCCTGTTTTGATGATACAGTTGTATGCCTTTCGATGTGGTTCTACCTGAAAGCGAATTGATGTTAGGCTGCCTACATTGCTCTAAAGAAACAACAGTAAAGGTACATGTAATTTTAGTGAAGTGAATGAACAGTTGGAACATCTTCAAACTAAACGTTGTCAATAACCACAGAGTGAAACTAGAATAAAACAATGCCCCCTGTACTGCCAGAATATTTCCAGTCAGGCAACAAGACAGTTCATTTTATTTGTAATCTTACACCTCAGAGGTAACTACGTTTCGGTTTATAAGGATCTGCACAGCAACCGTATTTTGTTAGTTCTTATGTTGTTTGTGGTTAAACGGTAAGAATCAGAAAACCTTTTAGATACCTTAACAAGAAACAGCACTGTCGAATTTTTTCCTATTTATTATATTGGAAGAATAAAAAATCCTCCTGACAATGATTTTTTGAATTTCTGCATCTAGGGTTTGCAGTATGGAGCTAACAGGAGCTGGTGCAGCCACTGTCATGCAAAACTTGGATTTCAGATACAATCAACTCGCTTCCAGGAGTTACAGCTTAGTAAAACTGCAACAGGTTACTTAGTATAAAACGTAAAATAATATAGTCATTGTTGATGGGTATCTGTTTGTGGGGCGGTGATTCTGTCTGAAAGGTGCATGGTCATAGTGGAAGCCCCTGGCAACCCATAGCATCATCTATCTTATAACTGCCGATCGACCCCTTCAGGAGCGTACATTTCAGTTGGTTATTTTCTGTCCGTTTCCCATAGTGGTTGGTTCTCAAAGCCCTAAAGAAATAAAAAAAAGTACCATAATTATACTTAAAGATAACTGTATAGTAGGATATTATGCTGAACATGTTACCCATCTGATCTTTACCAACCAATTATCTGTAATGCAAATAGCTTTTGTTAATGACAACCGTGAACATAATTGACAATCAACCGTACCAATCCAAGTAAATACCTTTCTTTAGCTTCCCTTAGAAAAAACAAAGATTCTAGCACTATTTCCAAACCCAAGAAACAAATTCGGAGCCCAGGAATAAAAGAAGGACAGCCATTACCAGCTAACGGAACCTGTAAACATTACAAGAAGAGTTTTAGATGGCTCAGGTAATGTATTGTTGGTCATTAAAGGATATTAAACTATCAGCGATTTCCTTGCCTTTCACTTTTTTTGTTTTCTTTGAGTTGTTCACCACTTTAGAACTATTTCACTCCTTTTGCTGCTGAAACGTGGATTGAACATAAATGGCCAACATACCTCTTTATTCCATTAGCCAAAGAAAGCCTGTCATACAGATAATTAAAACAATTTCAAAAATATAATAATGATCACTTTTTTTCATTCATTTATTTGAACTGTGTACAGCATGAAAGTTGGAGGAAGGGTTACTTCTAAAGTTCCAGCTTTTTCCAATAAAACGTTTGACTTCCAACAACAAAGAAGAGTTTTTCACTCAACCACAGTATTAAAAGTACGACTCGTCGACCGCATGCATTGTTTCGTTGTTTTAGGTTCCCGTGTTGTGGAAAGTGTTACCCTTGTGATTTATGCCATGAGGAACACGAAGATCACGAAATGAAGTACGCGACAAGAATGGTTTGCGGCTTCTGTTCAAGAGAACAGGTTCGTGTCAACCCAGAGTTTTGTCCCTAAACACCTGGACCCAGTGTTGTTTAACGGATGGATAACGCTATCCACCGGATAAATCCACTGCGGAATAACTGTTGAGAAAACAAACTACACTATCTGCCGGATAGTTAGTGACTATAGTCGAGAGGTTTATCCGTGCTATGAACAACCAGGGTCTGAGCTTTAATTTGTTTCGTTTCTCTCTTTTTTTTCTATTGTCTTATTGTGCATCAGTGTTGTTTTTTGTATACTGGCACGAAAGAATCCAAACATAGTATTCAGCCAATCACTACACTTGTATAACTGTTCCGCAGTTAACTGAGAAATTTTACTGTAGTAGACCTCAAATTTAGATTCAGAATAAGATTTGGTAATGTATTAGGTCACACAGGATGCTCTACATCACAAACGTTTTAACTGCCGGTAAACTTAAAACAAAACACTCCAATTACACTAACTACTGCAAAGAACTGTTGTAGTTCGATAGCACATGAGAATTTGATTGAGCAGTCATATGTCATTGCTATTTTTATAAACTATGGTGATTACCATTAATGCTGTACATTTTAACGATGAAGGAACAGGCTAGCATGTTTCATTAAGTGACGCTAGAAAAATGATGTCACGTCTTCCATTTGTTAAGACCCTTACATTGATTTCTTACTGAGTGGGACTTCTCCTGTTTCAGCCCTACACACAACAACCCTGCAATGGCTGTAAGGCGGCCGTGACCAAGTCACGCTCTGCTCACTGGGAAGGAGGTAAAGGATGTCGTGACAAGGTCACCATGAGCAGGTATCGTAGGTGAACTGTTCTGTTAGTAGCAAACTGTGTTAAATCCCCTTGAACTTGCTCATTTGTACTATCTAGCCTCTCGTCTTTGTAACAGATACTTAGCGGAGACGTACATCACTACAACTGTTTACAATTCACGTTTTTGTTCTTACTAACAGTTTGTTTCTGTCCTTTTAAATTTAGAAATGACGAGCAAAAACACAGGCAGTCAGGGAAGACAGTGTCACGCAAGGCACAGAAGCGGTCCGAAGGAAAGGGCAAAGGGAAGGGAAGCAAGGGGAAATGACTTTAGAAGGGGGAGGGGGAGGGGCTTATGTCAGGAGCGTGTTTAGGGACTTGTAACCAATATGAAAAAATAGACGTTGTGACATCTCTCTGCAAAAATTGTTAGAGGCTTTCACTTACCTATTCTAAGGAAAAACCATGAAGCCATGGCAACGTGAATAATCTCTGATTTGTAACGTCGCCTATTGTATTATGCTTTTTTCAGCAAGAACACAATGCAGAAAATTGTCAAGGTGCCTGTAACATTTGAGCTATACATGATACTTCTTGGTGTTCAGGCGACAACATGATTACTTGTATCACGTGTTAACTTTTTGGTGTGACATCAAAACAAAGTTGATCAAACAAATTTACTAGCTAGCCGGTGACAAATGTTCAAGCTGCTGCGTCTGTGTTTGAACCAGACTCACAGTTGGGCGGGAAAATCCTGGTTGTCGTGGCATACAGCAGAGATTAGTATATATTGATAAAAATAAAACAACAAAAACAAATATTATCGTAAATTAGAAAACAGCCATAAGAAAATACGCGCGCTGATTGGTTAAAAATCGTGTTTCTATAACTCGATGGAAACACAGAACTAGCAGGAGCTGTTGATGTAATGATGGCTCGAGCAAAGAGAACTTACATTTTGAAGTAAACAAGCTGTTTTCTTTTTCTCGTCGCGGTATTTTCTAAAAGAAATAGAAAACATGTTTTCCGTGTTTCCATCGAGTTATAGAAGCACTCGTGAAAGTTTGGGAGAACTCGAAAAAGCTGTGGAAACACTCGCCTGCGGCTCGTGTTCCCACAGCATTTCTCGTTCTCCCAAACTTCCACTCGTGTTTCTATAACTCGACAGAAACACGGTACATGTTTTCTATTTCTTAAATGACAACCAAATAATTAAATGAAGTTGTTTTTCTATAACTACAACGTATATATGTTGACACAATCATTATAGAGAGTGGTGCAATTCCGCAAACACTGAAGATAACACATCCGTTATTGTTTATAAATTAAACACTACAGTGGCAAAATGCCCCTCCATCGGGCAGTCCTTTGCAGCGACTGACCCACAAAGGGACTAACAATCCATGGCGTGCGAACGGCGGAAAGAAATATTTAACAAATATCTAAAAGGAATATTTAACCTTATTGCTTCTATCACACATGTGCAATACAATAGTATTTCAATATTTATATTTGAGAAATACAAGTGATGACGGAGTCTACAGAAAAGCGAAGAATACTTGAATATATGGCCAGATCCAGTTTAGTGATTGGAAAAGTGGTCAATACGTAACTACTAACGTTACTATTAAAATACACAGCTACTATTAACAATATAGGGAGCTACTATTAATAATTAATAATTTAGTCGTGTTAATAGTAAGATCACTATTTAACAATCACTATACAATTCTCCAACAAAATCGAATTATGTACTATATTTTACATAATGTGGAAAAATGTTATTGAAGTCCACTTGGTTAAATGTGGTTAATAAACTACACATTTTTAACAATTTGCTACCAGTAAACTTCCTAAAAATGCTTTCGCTAGTAGAAAAACCTGCTTCATCCAGTCTATGCTAATTTGAAATCGCCCTACCCGACTTAAATACTGATAAAGCGACAGCCATAAGCGGCTGTTTTTACAGGTCGCGACTTGAAATTTTTCTCCCTGCTTCTGAATAAACCAAAGGGTGATTTTTTCATTGATTCGCTCGAAAAGTACCCATGTTTTTCGCAGACCAATTTGGTCAGTGAAAAGAATTGAGCCATCCAGGTACGACACCAGTATGTCCATGCAAAACGTTCCCACGTGTAACATAGCGCAGGTTTTCCAGAACAAAACCTCTCGACGATCATCGTCCCGTCTTCTGTTTAACTTGATCTATTTAATTTCACATTGCAATGAAGCAATGACTTAGCGTACTTAAAGGGTGATTGCCCGCCCCTGATGCTGTTTTTGTGTTTATTAAGATTAGTTACAAAATATTTTAAAATCGTTGCAGGGTGATTAGAGTATAAAAGGATGATTGTGGCCCAAAGCCCCGAAATTCTTTTCACAGTTTCCAAAACACTTTCCAGAATTCAGAATTCAGTTGGGTTAAAGTCAAACTTGAAGTTGTTTGAAGAGAGACGTTACGGGTTAATCTCCACTGGACAGTGAAGAGTGAGTGAATGCACGGAGTGACTGAAGCCGCAGGCTATACCGTCATGCCAACAACTCAAAGGGTTAGTGAACAATTTTATTTACACAAATATTTTATATACAACAGGACAAGATACATAAGCTGAACTGATTTGATTCTAGACATTCTGCTGATTAGTTCTGCGTTTTAACACGGGCAAATTATTGCTGAAAAAATGATAGACTTTTTCTCAAATGTTCCTTCATTTTCCAAGGGAGTTTAAACAACCACGACGGCAACGCCAAGGACAACGTCTATCAAGAAATAAATTCACATTTAATTTACAAATTTCGGAAGAATTTGGATCACTGTCAGAGTTATCCCACAACTAAATATACAAGACAGCGTTAAAATTCGAAAGAGCAATTTTGAAAATTGGGCATTGTAGTTCACTTTCTCTAGTCTACGCAGAATTTGGTCTTTCCCCGTTGCTGTTTTGTAGAGAACAGCAAAAACTGTATCACGAGTTATAACGCACGTACATTTTTCTCGTCATTAAACTGCTTCCGTTTCGCGACGTTCCCGTTACCGCTACCACCGAAGTTTGTTTACACTCCCTAATACCCCAGGAATCCGGACTGTATATGCGGACTAATCAGCCATTTTATCCATTTCTCACAGTTACATTTCTATTTGCAGGGAGGGAAGGGTTTGGTAAGGAGAGTGTAGAACTAGTAAAAAGTCATCAGCCACTGAAGAGGGACTGGGACTGAGCGCTCGCCTCCGGTGAGCTGAAATGAACCCTCTTATCACCAAAGGGGCATGGACCGAGGATTGTGACAATGTCATCGTAATTCAGAACTTCCTTGTTTAAGAGTTCTTCAGCAAGCTGAGGATACAAAAACAAAAAAACACAAATCCTGTTACAGATTCTTGACTTTCGGTGAAGTCTAACCTGATTATAGTCTGCGCTTACTTTGGTTTTCTCGTAGAATACTGAAAATAGCGATCCCCTAAAAATCATTCCACATTTGGTAAAGTTCTGTTTAAAACACTTCAGTAATCTGACAATAGCCTCAAGAAACTACTATGTACACGTAAAACTGTGCGAAGACACAAAAAAATCACTAACTTGTAAAAGTGTAGTTTCAATTTAGCCCTGACATATCCTTACAGGAGCTGTAGTGTTTAAAGACTGTTTAATGTAAAGTAACGAATTCAACTTACAGCTTTCAGCTTGTCCAAATTTTCTTCAATAATTGTATCAGTCGTCTGAAATGCTTTCCCAATCAATATGCGAACCTCCTGGATTAAAAACAATTAAAAGCAGAAATATAATTACTATTCACATTCACTACAGAGATACTTTCTACTCTTTCTCAACCAAAAGGGTGTAAAAGAATCAGCAAACCAACCCTGACCTGTTTCTTTTCCCGCGCTTGTTAATGTTCAGCGGTATCGGTTAACGTTTTTTCGATGTTTGTGAGTGCTTGGCATATTAAGAAACGCATTTTATGCTTTCCCACGATTTTCGACAGTTCATGTTTTCACAGCTCTACGTCTGGCTACATGGTTTTACCTCGAGTTGGAATGTTCGTAATCTCGTTTGCACTAAAAAACGGAAAAAATTCTATGCTATGTTAAAAATAAATGTTCTTTCTCGGCGTCTCCTGTAAGTCGTGGCACAAAATTCAAAGGACCAACACAGTGACAATGAGGATCTATCTATTTTTACCATGAAAAGCTCCAAAGCATCTCTTGCAACATCCAGTGGTATTGGTTGTTCCTTTCAGAATTGCGAAACTAGTAATGAGGTCGATATCAACATTTCCAGTGGACCCCAGTGGGTTGAATTTTAGATTTACGTTTAGGTAACGAGAGACGACCCGACCAACATACCTCATCCATAAGCTTGGCGAGTTTATCACTGTAAAACTTCTTGGTCAGTTCAGTCGGTTTCCTAACAGGAAAGGAAACATTACCAACACGAGGACTCATGCCAAATGTTACCACCTGCAAAACGAACAGCCACGAAAATTCATATTAAAGAACCTTTTCTGACGTCAATAATTCGCAATTGAGGGAAGTGATAGCTCACCTGTTTATATGCCAAGTCAGTCACTTTTCGAAGATCGTCTTCGGCTCCTTTTAAAAACAAGAAATAACAAGAAATAAATGTTAAGAAGGATAGTGGCCTGAAAATAGCGTAACTAACGCAGATCGTGACAAGAATGACAGAATGAAGCAAACTAACAAACCGACCGACTGACCACATGACCGACGAACGACCGACCAATCGCCCGCCCGAGAACTGTTGCAAAGAGATGTGAAGTGGTCGGGCTGTTTTCTGATTGGACGGGGAATGATCGGAAACCTTCGGGTACTTCTGTGAAGATTTCGTTCTCCCATGAAATATAACCACAAGTACAATCGGACTGAAGGCGAGGCACTCATCATACCTGTAGTAACTCTCCGGAATATCTTGGCCTCTGCGGCTCGTCCTCCCAAAGCCATGCACATTCTATCAAACAACTGCGTGGAGATACCACGAGGAAGTTTTCATTACACGATAACAGTCAATTTATAGCTTTGTTTATGGTAACTCTTTGTTGATTATATGGCCTAAAGTAAACGCCTTGTCAGTGATTTTCTAATCTTAAGAACTCCTTTAAGGCTTTAATCACGACCACAATTTAATGGCTCAAAGGTGATCACGTTAAAGGTGTTCCACAAGTGTTTTCGCTTGTCTTTCAGAGTTCCCACTCAGACGTTTATTCAGAAACTGATCCTTGGTATTTCATCCACAAACAAAAGAAGTCAAATCCACCTTGTGTGGGACATGAAAGTTTTCATGTGAATGGTCATTGACACATTAGAGGTTCATCTACAGCCTAACTAGACAGAATCACCTTGTGCAGCAGAATAGGCGGTAGCGGGCGGAAAAACGCATTACACGTACTAGTTAAAATCGTTTAAATGGTGAAACACTTAGGTTGCTTCCAATCGACTCAAAAGTTAGAGCAACCTTGTGCACCATAACAGGCAACACAAGCTCAGTGAGGTCTTACTTGAGAAATGAAAGTTGAATTAGAAATGGCTAACGTTTCTAACCTGTTGAGTGCTGTACAGTTTATTGTCCGAGGGAAGGTACTGTGCGTAGCCTAACGTGGCATTAGTGCGAGGAACAATGGACACCTTGGAGAAACACAACAGCACTGTCATTAAATAAGAGTTGAGTGACAGAGCGCGCAACAAAAAAGGAACAAAATAAGGAAACAAGTTCAGGGCTGGTGTTCAAGGCGAATTTAGCTTGGACAGGAATAGTGTCAACTGTGAATTATTTCTATAAACTATCAACAAAGATTTCTCTTATTCTTTTGTCCTTCATGTTTTGCTTGTTGAGTAGAACAATCGGGTGCAAGTAATTACTTGACTCGCATGCTATTCTTGTTTTCAACCTTTTGATTAGAGTTGACCGGTTTGGGTTTTCGCTTTTACTATAGCCTGCAGAGCAGGCGAGATTTTTCGAGCGAGCGCTCACATCGTAAAAAGTTTAGCAGCCATCTTGAATTTTTCATGCAGTGGAAGACTGGAGAGAGAAAGAAAGTTTTACCAAGGGGGTGAATGATAGGCAAGAGGAAGGCTAGGGGAGGGGGTGGAGCGAAGAAAATTCTCATTTTTCCCCTCCCCCATCCCCCACCGTCTAACATGGCGGTCGCAAGGTTATAACGCTAGCTCGCCCCAATAAGACGCCTGCACTGCAGGCTACTTTTACTAGTCTTGAACCTTCAGTCCCGAGATCAACATAGGTTAGGTAGGTAGGTAAAGTCTGCATGCGAGCCAAGTGGCCCATCAGGTCACTTATCCCGGTTTCAGTATCATGAAGCGACTAGGAGTATTTCTACTCCCCCCTGGATGGGATGCTAGTCCATCGCAGGGTTACTCCCAGCATTAAATTCACCGGTACCCATTTATACACCTGGGTGGAGAGAGGCACTGTGAGAGTAAAGTGTCCAAGAACACAACACAATGTCTCCAGCCAGGGCTCGAACCTGTACCACTCGGTCCGAAGTCGAGCGCACTAACCATGAGGACACCGCCCCTCCACCAAAGACATTCTTCCAATCCTCTCCCATAAATTCATTTTCTTTCGCCGGAGAAGCATGTGAGGAGACCATATCTTAGAACTGTCTCCTTTTCGTCACATGATATGTCGGCTGATAATTTCTTTGGCAGATCAAAAACAAACGAGATTCGTTCCTCACCTTAAGTAAAGGATCAGTGTGTTCTAACATCCAGCCGACCACAGCATGACCAGCCTCGTGATAAGCTACTATCTTTCGTTCTTCAGGTGACATAGTATTACTCTTCTTCTCCATCCCTGTTTTCACGACAAATAGTATCACATCTGTTCAGTATTATTACCTAGATGTAGGTTAACGAGGTCAACACTAGTTTAAAATGAATGAACTGTTAAAGAAATACGCCTCCAAGAAACCAGAAGCACACGAAAGCTAAGAACAATGGTTTAAGTGGGCAAAAAATGATGATACATGAAAATGCTGTTGAGAAAGGACTGACACAAGCCGCTGGGGAAAAAAATTCTGCCACTTTTTCAGTTCTCGTAGTAGCCTATAGCCAGGCTATCCAAGTAGCTGATCCTACCTCTCTCGCTGGCTCGACTTTGTTCACAAAGGGAACAGAAATCGAATAATTTTGTGAGTTTGTGACTCAGTTTAATCCTCCTAAGTTAAATCCTTCCGTTTTCCTATACATGTTATATGAGAAATCGCTATTTTTCTGTGATTTTCCTCTCTACCTAACTTATCATTTTAAGGTTTCGTTTAGTACGAAGTTTAATATCGGACGTCGGTTATAGAGACTCGCGTGTCATTTTCTAGTGGTAAATCGTCATTACCGGCTATTACTCTTTCCACAGCATACTCAAAGTTTCCCTTATCCACTGTTTTCTTATTCAAGCGAGCTGCATGCAGGGCTGCCTCGTTACAAATGTTAGCGATGTCGGCACCTGTAAACAGAAAGAATGTAAGAGCCGGATTCTGTGTGTAACTCGGAATAAACTATAAGTGTATGGAAGCAGCGAACGCAGGAGCACCCTGACCGATGCCAAATGTAGTTGAGCGAGACCGAACGCGTTTTAAGTGCGTTTAAGCCACGTTCGCGCGTTACATGCAGAGCAAGTTTACAGTTACAGCATGTCTGTTTCGAATTGACCCGTGTGCTTCAAGCAACCTGTTTGCTCTTCTACAATTTGTGATTTACATCTTACCACTATTTCCTGGAGTGAGTTCTGCCAGTCGTTTGGAGTAAGCCTGAATTGGCATATTCAGAGTGAGTTTCTTCAGGTGCACTTCAAATATGGCTTGCCGCTCTAACAGGGTTGGAAGTTCAATGGCGACGTGTCGATCAAATCTTCCTGGTCTTAACAGAGCCTGAAAAGAATTGAAAGTTAGTAGAACTCGAACAACTGGACGTATGTGAATTTTCCACGTTTGTCACCGGTTACATAGTTCTATCGCTTGTTTCTGGTTTGTATACGTACATGTACATATGAGTTATTGACCAAGTGTGAGGTCAAGAAGGCTGGATATTTGCCAAGTTCTTTTTTTTTATCGTGTTTATGAACCGAGACGGAACGAACGAGGCCAATAACCAGCCATCTTGACCGAACAAGCTTGGTCAATAAAGGATTTATTATATGGCTTCTGCTCCGGCTACGAGGAAATATTTCTCGCGGGACACAACACAACACGTGAAAGCTATCGCCCGTTCGCGGATAGCCGATCGCAGCGCTTCTCCGGAGAAGCGTTGCGCTAATAATAGCTGCGAAGCAAGCTCACAAAGCAAGCCATATAACAAGTTCTGCTATTGTCCTGCCGCTTTTCATGTTTAACCGAACTTGCCACCGCTTACATGTTTTCAATGTTTGCTGACAGCGTATTTTCCCGCGCTAGGAACAACGTTTTTGTTTCAGGTTCGCTATGGTTCAAAGCATTTCTTTCAGCCTTCGTGATTGGCTAGAGAGATAAGTTAATTGCGTTTTTACCTGATCTAAAATATCCTGCCTGTTCGTGGAAGCCAGCATAACAACACCTTCCATAGTATTCATGCCTACAAAATTTAAGAAATATTTCTTCATTTTGACCTCATTATTAATGTCACAGTGGAGCCAAATTAGCCACTGCTGGCATTGCCCTATTTGGTGAACTGTCCAGACCCCTATAACTCGTTTTGGATGAAACAGTGTGAGTTTTTGACTTTTTACTCTTACAGTGCCTCCATTCATCCAGGTGTATAAATAAGTACCAGGGAATTTAATGCTGGGGGTAACCCCACAATGGACTAGCGTCCCATCCAGAGGGAAGTGAGGTAGAAATACAAACTGGGATAAGCTTGGCCGGTATTGGACACATTATAGGATGAGGATTTGTGTACACTTTTCGTCATCTTCAACTGAAAGCAGGTGGGAAACTGAGAGTGTTCTTTTCAGATATTTCTCCCAAATCAAGTCAAAAAAAGTTGACCGACCAAACTAATCATACCCAACCAACAGAAAATTGCAATGTTTGATGAGGATTGATCCTTATAATTTCTACAACAAATACAGCATGAGAATCTAGAACTTAATCACCTGAAATACTTTTAGCGGAATTTGAATCCTGAGATTGGGACTAATTAGCATCAAGGGTATAAAAGGGAGGATAAAACTGTTGGACTTCATGGAAAACAATGTTAAATATAATTTATTTATTTGTGGACAGACTCAACAGTGCACAGTTTGTTAAGCTCACCGTCCATTTCCACAAGAAGCTGATTCAAAGTACTTTCCTGTTCACTGTGCCCACCAATTGAACTGAAACATGATCATGACTGAGGTGTTTAATACACACAAAGAGAAGATGATACTGCATGATACTGCATGCAGCCATCTCATGTATTAATTTCATAATTACTTTCAGGAAGTTTAGATATTATCGTACCTAGATCAAAGCTAAACCCAAACAATTAGTTAAGAAAATTGTGTAAATGCAACTGCAATTAAGGAGTACATGCATAACAAGCTACATTTGGAAATTCTCTCAAAATTGTACAAGCCTTTGGAAGATCCCAAAGTGAATTTGAAGTTCTTAGAGTTCCATATTAAGTTCTCAATAGGTTATCCAAAATATAATAAGGGAAGAGTTTCTATTGTAAATATCAATAACCTATTTGCAATGATATTTGTGAGTAAATTCTTCTGGAAACTCACTTAGATTGTCGTGATCTCCCAATGGCATCCACCTCATCAATGTACAGAATACACGGAGCAAGCTTCCTGGCACGGGTAAACAAGTCACGGACTCTAGCTGAACCAACGCCAGAAAATACTTCCACAAAATCTGACCCAGCCATTGTAAGGAAGGGAACATCAGCCTCTGTGGCAACAGCTTTTGCCAGAAGAGTCTTACCTGTGCCTGGAGGACCAACGAGAAGAGCCCCCTGACAACAATAACAACTAATTATACAAGTTTACAATGTCAACAAACAAAAGTCAATAATAGAATTGCTTACTTTCCATGCTGTTTTACAGCTTGCTTCATCTCAAGGCTGTAGTCTGAGAAAAATTATGAGGAGCCCAAAGGTTCCTAACCCTGAAATCCTGGGTGCCCAGCACTTATTGCAAGCTTATATGAAAAAGGTAAGTTTTTCCAGACGTCCAAAGGCAAAAGTTAGTTGCCTGCGGCACCTGGACATTTCTAGAGCACAGCCCTGTATGTTTAACAGTTTGACAAAAATAGCTCATAAACTAGTTGTCCATTTGTATTAGTCAAGAGCACTATACATTTTTACTTAATTGTGATATTTCAATATCTATTATAATTTTACTCTGACTAACAAAATATACAGAAGTCAAGAAGATACACCATTTATTGAAAACCCCAAATTGAAATTAAACCTTTGGTATTTTTGCTCCAAGTTCTGCATATCTTCCAGGAGATTTGAGGTAATCCACAAATTCCATAACCTCCAGTTTTGCCTCTTCCATTCCTGCAACATCTTTAAAGCTAATTGGGCGAAAAAAGAATAAGAAAGTATTTAGAATCAAGAGAGGAAAAGAGGTAAGAGAGTTTTATATCCCCCATACAGTCTTTATTCCCAAGGTAATCCATCTCAAGTTATTTTTAGATTATGGTACCCAGTTTTCCATGGATTATGCTATCAAAGACTTTGTGTGGATGTTTCCTGGACATGAGAATGCATGTAAAACTGCTTGGGCTGTCCACATGAGCATCGAAGGACTGGCTATTTCTTGACCCTCCTGGTAGTTCCGAGACCAGGAATAACGGAATATGGCCTACATGGGGGATTAACTCTCTTACAGTCCTTCATCCTCCCTTGTTAGAATCCTTACTATAAGCACAAGCTTTAATATCAGTTGTTGGTAACAGAATGGGCACTGCATGGAGTACTTTGACAAGGTTGTGAAACCAAGCAGGCTTCTAGCCAGTATGGGTGCCCAAAATGTGCTATAGGACCTGCTCAAATGAACAATTTATAATGCCATCCACAGGACGCCTGGACACCCATCTGGCTAAAACCCTTATACCAAACTTACCATGCTATGATTATATGAAATAGAGTCAGGGATATTACTATTAATAAATAATATTCTTGTCCAGAGGTGTGTGAGTTATGCACATATCTGATCACAACATTTCTTTCTACAGACTGCATGATATTTACTAGTAGTCTTCAATAACTGGCACCTGGCACGTTTTAAAAATCTTCAATAAGAAATCATTCAACTGTAATACCTACATGTAAGTGAGAACATGTATGCTCTTTTTAATACCTGATTCCCTTTCCGCTTCCAGGCATGACCACTGTTGGCTTAGCTTTGATATAGTTAGACTGTGAATTAAAATGAAAAAAGATTGCCAATTATAAAATTACATCATAATAATCATACTGAACAGTTGGGTATATTGGTTTCACAAATGTCTTTTGCATGGTGCTAGAAATTGTCAAAGTTTTGTGATCAACAATCTAAGTCCTGGAGGGTGGATTATAGAAGAGAGCAGAGGTTTTGTCAAATAGTGAAGGCCAACTAAATATTTACCATGCAAATTGTGCAAAGCAAAAATCTGTGCACAAAGAACAAGAAGAACTGACATATTGATACTGAACTTAATTCACCTTATTGGTAAACAATTAAAAAAACTTACAAAAGGATTGCTTCCCAGTATTCCTCCTTGTTTTGTCCCTCCTCTTGTTCCTCTTCCATAAATCCAATACCAAATAAAACCCAACAATGCAATGGTTACAGCAGCATTCAGAGCTGTAGAACTATTGTGAAGAATATTGAACATTTGCTATTAATTTTAAACAAGTTGATTACTGCAGTCCTGAACAGGGAGGTAGCCAAGAAAAAACTAAGTAGGCAACAAATTCAGCTGGCTTTTCTGGCTTGTGTGCCTTCGAAATTTCCCCACATCTTTGCTTTCAAATAAAATTTCAGCCTTTGGAATTAGGCAGTAGCTGCTCTTAGCTACATCTCCAAAGCAACCATTCTACATAGAAGTGTGATATCATATTCTTAGAATTTGAACGAACTTTATGACAGAACCTTTAGGTTATACAATTAAAAGATATCCATCAGGCAAATTTACCTACTTTTGACAAAACAGTTTTTGGCTCCAACAGAAAATATTCATTTACTAATAATTGTTCGCTAATATTTATAATTCTCCACTGAATAGGAAGTTGTAAAAATCTTGTCCAAAAGCAGAACAAGGCAACTTGTTTAATACTGTGTAGATGGTGATTTTTGTTTGTAAAAAAAAAAAATTGTAAAAACATCGTTTTTGTTCAGTGTAAAAAAAAAAAAACATACNAAAAAAAAAAAAAAAAAAAAAAACAATTACTGGTAATATTAACTGGTGGTCATACCAAGAGGTAAAGCACTTACTTTTAGTCTTTATACACACAGTATGGAGGCATGCTCTGCTAGAGCTTTGCTACTAATCAAGGGTTATTCATAACCGAGAGAAAGTAGAATTTACAGAAGGTTTCAGACCCATTTATAAAAACAGAACATACATGTAGTGTGATTGATAAGCCAATTGGTGTAAATCTACTTTAAAAAGAGAAAGATAAAACTGGAAACAACAAAAAGCAGCACAGACCAAAACGTTTTTCACAAACTTGATTTGATGCATGCCAAACATCCATGTCATACAAAAATAACAACAGCAATAATAATTATTATAACTTAGCACATAGGTACAGGTATGTGTGTGATGAAAGAGATCAATATTCACTGTATGAAACTGGTATACATGTATTTTCTTTTAATTGAAATTCCAGGAGTGTTTGGGAGGGAGTCATCCACATTGTACTTGTTGGATATACCAGAGGGGCATCCATACAGAAAACTTTCCACGGCATGAGTAGAGAGCCCGTGAAGATCATTTCTGGAACTTCTTTTTTGTACACATTTATTTACCTCTTTTCCTCCCACCATTGCCCCTCTGTGCAAAAACACAAAGATTTTGTCCTGGCTTGACGGTACTTCCAAGTGTTCAACCTGAAACAGGTATAAATACATCTTACAGAGACACAATATACATATAGCAGATACCTATTAATAGCTAAGTATTTTTAATTAGGAAAAACATCTTCCAGTGTACAAACTATACCTCCCCAGTAGAGAGCATTTCTCTGTAAAATGTCGACCATGTGGTTTCGGGGGTGGGGTCAGACCCTGCTGCCAAGAAGTAAAACAATGCCAGCATCAACCAAGGAAGAACAGTCACCCATCCACCTTGATTTTCTGGTTCCTCTTCAGGATTCTGTGAGTCACCTAAAAAATAATGTCAAGAAATTATGATTCATAATACTTTTAGTCAGTGGACAACAAATTACATACTAGTTTTATTCTCATGTTAGAACTGTTTAATAAATAACAATATGGGGTATTCAGTAATTAATAGGGTATATCCCAGGGAGGTATTCAATTACTGGTTGGTTAGCCATAGCGTATAATGGGGTACTTTAAAAGGAGGGAGGGGAACCCAAGGAATAACTATTTAATATACCATTCAAATATTGTTACTTAATTACCTTGCTGGTTTTGATCCCCTTGGCTGTTTTGTTTCACATGGCTTGTTGAAAAGAATCTGATAATACCTATTTGCCAATGCATTAAAAACATAGTAATTTTTAAGTAATTTGCAAAGTAATAATGACTTAACATTAATAAGATTATGCTAAAAAGCTTACATTGTACATACATTTATCAAGAATACCAAAGTACAGAAGACTAAACTTGTAATAGCATTAAAAGAAAAAATGTCCTACATGTAAAGAATATCAATGTAGAAAAGCCAAACTAAAATCTCTCTTACCCTGTCTTACATCTTGTCTTTTCAACAGCAGAAAGATTTGATACAATGAAGGAGCATGTATATACTTTGTTGAAAATTCCACCTGCAAACATTCAGTGTCAAATAATTAAGGGTCTAATTTAAATTGTGGCTGAGATGACCTTGCCAGCAAAAGTCAAATAACTCTCTACTAATATTACATAACTTTCTACTTAATTATTTCCCAGTATCTCACCCCACCTTTTGTAACTCCTCAAATGTGATTTTTAAGTCGTATTAATTGTGTTTTAGCCTCTTTTCAAACCTTTTATTGCCTGAGTGCCAAAAGCTTGCAATTCAGTGATTGTAAATATACTTATCACCCTTCCTTTATAAAATATAGAAAATTGTAAGATAACAACACTTGGTACAGTAAAGTTAGAATCAAATGATTTTCAGTTGATTTTCATTGTATCTGTAACTTTACCTTGAGCTGAACCTTGTTGCGGTGGTGGAACAAAAGTGGGCTTCGATAACCCTAAGAGCTATGCTAGCTGGGAGTTCAGACTCTAGTAGGTTTGATCATGCTCGATTTATCACAGGGTAGAGACTTGACAAAAAACAGCCCCTGTTTTTTCAAGTTGGGAGGTGGGCAACAGGCTAATCACCCATTTTGTTAAAACAAAACCTGATTATAAAAACCTCAAACACTCCAAATCAGCCATCTTCTGGGGGCCACTAAGGCACCTTGCCTAGGTGAGCAAGGTATTATTAATAATGCACTTGGGTCAAAGCCAAGAGGATGCCCTGGGGCTCACCAAACCAATAGCAAAAGCAAAACTTAGGAGAAGAAACTGGAATCAGGACTGCATTAACTTGGATGCCAGAAGGGCGACAAAGGCCAGGAAGACCCAAGACAAAATGGAAGGAAAAGCAGTGAAAAAGGGGTAAAGAGCAAGTGGAGGTCCTGATATGAGGTGCGCATGGCAGCTACCATCAGAGCTGGTTGTGCATTGAGACTGAATTAGAATTTGGGGTGTTTTTGTGAAGGGAGGAAAAGCAAAGAACGCATAGGAAAACCCCTGAAGCGAGGCAAGAACCAAAAGCCAGATTCAACCCATTTATGACACTGGGTCCAGGATTTGAACCCAGGCCACAATAGTGGAAGATGGGCACTCTCATCATGCTACCACCCCTGTTCTCCTACGGAGCTGTACAAATCAAGCTTCCATGATTGTCATGACTGTATCCTAAACAGCTGGGGTCTTATATACACCATTCATTAGACGGTGATTAAGTGGCCAATTATGTACTTGTAGGGGTTATTTTGGCAGTTGGCATGTTCAGAGAGGAAAAGTGTACTGCACAGGTTTCTATGCATCCCTAGCCATACTTGTAGGTTCAGGAAACAGGAAATGATACAGGCTGTTATGGTGGAAAGAACATCAGACAGCTAATGAGGTACATGAGAATTGATTTATTTACACTTGGGCAGGCATGAATTTTTTTCAGCATTTCACTGTTGAAAAAACAAGGCTTCCCCTACCTGTTGTGAGGCTCTCAGGCTTATATATTCAGTAGTGTGCTTATATAGATGCAACAGGTAAGAGTGTCAGCCTGTGGAAAAAATGTGTCTTCGCACCAAAATTTCTTGTATACCATGAGGAAATAAAGGGTTCAGAAACTTTCTTTAAAATTTGTCTGAAAAAAATCGATTCCCCATGAAAACAATACACCAGCTTTCCAGCTTTAGTGACATTAAAATGTTGCTGCTTACCGGGAAAATATTTGGGAAAGCATATAAAGTGTTTAACTTGTTTTGTTTACATGATTGCCTTTTTTTTAAAACTGGGAGCCTGGTGCACAGCCAAAACTTGCACCTGCATATTATGTTTTTCCACTCTGAAAGTTGGCATGCATGTTGAAATCTTCCATTTTTTTCTTACTAGTCCCGCCCCCTATGGAGGGCATACTTTGGTATGGTCCTATCAGGCACTGTTGGAATCTGCAGCTGGGAGGTTCGGAAACAGTATTTAGAGATAGAAGATCCCATTGGAATCGCTTAAATAAGAAATTCACCCTTTGGGAAACTGCATATAAGTACTATTTTTATTTCTTTTTACAATAAATAAATAAATATATAAATATATAAATAAAGAGAATGAGCAAAATCAGCATTTTTCCTATATCCGGATGAAACAGCACTGGCCCATTAGGAAAATGGGAATCATATAGCCTTATAGGAATTGTTCAAATTGAATTTTGGACCTGTCACAATAAGTATTTGGTGCCCCCTCCACTGGGAGAGACAGAAAATGTTTGGAATGTGTCATTAGTGGCTGTTGCTGTTAAGGAGAGTCTAAAATAAGAGTGAATAAATAAGCAGTATGCCAAACTATAAAAAGTGGTCATTGTAAAGGTGACCAATGTAAAGACTGTTGTAAAGGTGGCCGTTTGTAGACCTTTGTACATGTAGGTTTGACAGTACAAGCCCATGGTTTGATTGGTAATGTTCCTTAATAGACCAATCTCGATATATTAAAATTCAGCCTAAAACAAAAGACCTCAGCATGAGGCTCCGGGAATAAAGCCAACAAACTCTGAAGTTATTCCCCGGACCCTCGTGCTGAAGTCTACTGTTTTAGGCTGAATTTTAATATAACGAAATTGGTCTATCGTAATAACTCCACTCCATGAGAATTTTAGGATTTTGATCGGAGAATAGAGCCTGAGCGCGGCCTGACTGACGTAGGTCTTACATAACCTGCACATGTAAACAACTCATTCTCTACTATTTTCATACCTTAGATTATTTCCAATACATTAAATGTCATTTCTTACCTGTGAGGGCCTCGCTAAACTACCAAAATGTCTTCGCAAATTGCACTTGATACATCTTTTTCCAAGATTGCGTCGATTTGTTAAAAGCTGGTTACTCTGATGAAACAGTCTTGTGGGAACTCTAGGAACGTTGAACGCCCAATATTTACCGGAAAATCGAGAGAAAGACTCGAGTACCAGGCGATTCATTTTACCATACTACTAAAGACTGCGTTTGAATCCAAATAATTAATCTTTTTTCACGCAAAATGCACTCACATTAAAAGTTTTGTTTGGCCGCCATTTTGAATACACCGTCTGAATGTGCGAGGTCTGGAGCCGAATTCCAACAGTAGCTCGGGAACCCAGGTGCAGTTGTTAGGGGCGGGAACAGTCTAAACGGGCAAGGAAAAAATTCGGGCGAAGAGAAGTCAAGAACGAGAAGTCCCTAAGGCATTGAATATATACATTGACAATTGCTACAGTGTGAATGATTTCCCCCCTGCATTTTTATTATTAATTTTTCATATTAACCGGAGGAGAGGTTTCAGTTATCCTGGGACCTCACTAGGGAAAGGCCTTGCCTCAAACTGTGTCTAAGCTGACGATAATAAGCAGTTAGTTAATATAGGCAAGTTAGGTCGATAATCATTTCGTTTCTCTTTATCAAACGTCTCCGCGCGGACATCTATGTGCAGTACTCTTTATGACATCACATCGGCATATTACTACAAAAAGAAAACACTCTCAGGCAGTCATCACCGAGGAGGAGAAATGGTAGCGTCTCGCATGGTTGTGATTTGGCACAAGATTGTCTTATCACCACCTGTATGATTTCTAGTGGAGATTGTTGCTAAGAAACCGTGCAAATGGAGTTCATACATTTCGTTGGCTTTCGAAAGTTTCCTTCCAATACTCACGTTGACAGCATTCACACTGGGATCAGTCTTGTTCGGCTTGATCGTTCTTTTCCTGTTACAGTTTGAACTATTAACACTGGCAATCGTTTCCTTTCTATCATCAGTGGCGTTTGTTGTTCCTGCACCGTTTACACTGACATTGTTCATCTACTTAATCTAAAAATGTCTGGTTGCGGCTTTGCGTGCGCTATGCTGGATCTTAGCCTTACTAAAAACAATATTTAGACGGATAAAGCAAGAAGCGATGNATACTTTGTTGAAAATTCCACCTGCAAACATTCAGTGTCAAATAATTAAGGGTCTAATTTAAATTGTGGCTGAGATGACCTTGCCAGCAAAAGTCAAATAACTCTCTACTAATATTACATAACTTTCTACTTAATTATTTCCCAGTATCTCACCCCACCTTTTGTAACTCCTCAAATGTGATTTTTAAGTCGTATTAATTGTGTTTTAGCCTCTTTTCAAACCTTTTATTGCCTGAGTGCCAAAAGCTTGCAATTCAGTGATTGTAAATATACTTATCACCCTTCCTTTATAAAATATAGAAAATTGTAAGATAACAACACTTGGTACAGTAAAGTTAGAATCAAATGATTTTCAGTTGATTTTCATTGTATCTGTAACTTTACCTTGAGCTGAACCTTGTTGCGGTGGTGGAACAAAAGTGGGCTTCGATAACCCTAAGAGCTATGCTAGCTGGGAGTTCAGACTCTAGTAGGTTTGATCATGCTCGATTTATCACAGGGTAGAGACTTGACAAAAAACAGCCCCTGTTTTTTCAAGTTGGGAGGTGGGCAACAGGCTAATCACCCATTTTGTTAAAACAAAACCTGATTATAAAAACCTCAAACACTCCAAATCAGCCATCTTCTGGGGGCCACTAAGGCACCTTGCCTAGGTGAGCAAGGTATTATTAATAATGCACTTGGGTCAAAGCCAAGAGGATGCCCTGGGGCTCACCAAACCAATAGCAAAAGCAAAACTTAGGAGAAGAAACTGGAATCAGGACTGCATTAACTTGGATGCCAGAAGGGCGACAAAGGCCAGGAAGACCCAAGACAAAATGGAAGGAAAAGCAGTGAAAAAGGGGTAAAGAGCAAGTGGAGGTCCTGATATGAGGTGCGCATGGCAGCTACCATCAGAGCTGGTTGTGCATTGAGACTGAATTAGAATTTGGGGTGTTTTTGTGAAGGGAGGAAAAGCAAAGAACGCATAGGAAAACCCCTGAAGCGAGGCAAGAACCAAAAGCCAGATTCAACCCATTTATGACACTGGGTCCAGGATTTGAACCCAGGCCACAATAGTGGAAGATGGGCACTCTCATCATGCTACCACCCCTGTTCTCCTACGGAGCTGTACAAATCAAGCTTCCATGATTGTCATGACTGTATCCTAAACAGCTGGGGTCTTATATACACCATTCATTAGACGGTGATTAAGTGGCCAATTATGTACTTGTAGGGGTTATTTTGGCAGTTGGCATGTTCAGAGAGGAAAAGTGTACTGCACAGGTTTCTATGCATCCCTAGCCATACTTGTAGGTTCAGGAAACAGGAAATGATACAGGCTGTTATGGTGGAAAGAACATCAGACAGCTAATGAGGTACATGAGAATTGATTTATTTACACTTGGGCAGGCATGAATTTTTTTCAGCATTTCACTGTTGAAAAAACAAGGCTTCCCCTACCTGTTGTGAGGCTCTCAGGCTTATATATTCAGTAGTGTGCTTATATAGATGCAACAGGTAAGAGTGTCAGCCTGTGGAAAAAATGTGTCTTCGCACCAAAATTTCTTGTATACCATGAGGAAATAAAGGGTTCAGAAACTTTCTTTAAAATTTGTCTGAAAAAAATCGATTCCCCATGAAAACAATACACCAGCTTTCCAGCTTTAGTGACATTAAAATGTTGCTGCTTACCGGGAAAATATTTGGGAAAGCATATAAAGTGTTTAACTTGTTTTGTTTACATGATTGCCTTTTTTTTAAAACTGGGAGCCTGGTGCACAGCCAAAACTTGCACCTGCATATTATGTTTTTCCACTCTGAAAGTTGGCATGCATGTTGAAATCTTCCATTTTTTTCTTACTAGTCCCGCCCCCTATGGAGGGCATACTTTGGTATGGTCCTATCAGGCACTGTTGGAATCTGCAGCTGGGAGGTTCGGAAACAGTATTTAGAGATAGAAGATCCCATTGGAATCGCTTAAATAAGAAATTCACCCTTTGGGAAACTGCATATAAGTACTATTTTTATTTCTTTTTACAATAAATAAATAAATATATAAATATATAAATATATAAATAAAGAGAATGAGCAAAATCAGCATTTTTCCTATATCCGGATGAAACAGCACTGGCGCATTAGGAAAATGGGAATCATATAGCCTTATAGGAATTGTTCAAATTGAATTTTGGACCTGTCACAATAAGTATTTGGTGCCCCCTCCACTGGGAGAGACAGAAAATGTTTGGAATGTGTCATTAGTGGCTGTTGCTGTTAAGGAGAGTCTAAAATAAGAGTGAATAAATAAGCAGTATGCCAAACTATAAAAAGTGGTCATTGTAAAGGTGACCAATGTAAAGACTGTTGTAAAGGTGGCCGTTTGTAGACCTTTGTACATGTAGGTTTGACAGTACAAGCCCATGGTTTGATTGGTAATGTTCCTTAATAGACCAATCTCGATATATTAAAATTCAGCCTAAAACAAAAGACCTCAGCATGAGGCTCCGGGAATAAAGCCAACAAACTCTGAAGTTATTCCCCGGACCCTCGTGCTGAAGTCTACTGTTTTAGGCTGAATTTTAATATAACGAAATTGGTCTATCGTAATAACTCCACTCCATGAGAATTTTAGGATTTTGATCGGAGAATAGAGCCTGAGCGCGGCCTGACTGACGTAGGTCTTACATAACCTGCACATGTAAACAACTCATTCTCTACTATTTTCATACCTTAGATTATTTCCAATACATTAAATGTCATTTCTTACCTGTGAGGGCCTCGCTAAACTACCAAAATGTCTTCGCAAATTGCACTTGATACATCTTTTTCCAAGATTGCGTCGATTTGTTAAAAGCTGGTTACTCTGATGAAACAGTCTTGTGGGAACTCTAGGAACGTTGAACGCCCAATATTTACCGGAAAATCGAGAGAAAGACTCGAGTACCAGGCGATTCATTTTACCATACTACTAAAGACTGCGTTTGAATCCAAATAATTAATCTTTTTTCACGCAAAATGCACTCACATTAAAAGTTTTGTTTGGCCGCCATTTTGAATACACCGTCTGAATGTGCGAGGTCTGGAGCCGAATTCCAACAGTAGCTCGGGAACCCAGGTGCAGTTGTTAGGGGCGGGAACAGTCTAAACGGGCAAGGAAAAAATTCGGGCGAAGAGAAGTCAAGAACGAGAAGTCCCTAAGGCATTGAATATATACATTGACAATTGCTACAGTGTGAATGATTTCCCCCCTGCATTTTTATTATTAATTTTTCATATTAACCGGAGGAGAGGTTTCAGTTATCCTGGGACCTCACTAGGGAAAGGCCTTGCCTCAAACTGTGTCTAAGCTGACGATAATAAGCAGTTAGTTAATATAGGCAAGTTAGGTCGATAATCATTTCGTTTCTCTTTATCAAACGTCTCCGCGCGGACATCTATGTGCAGTACTCTTTATGACATCACATCGGCATATTACTACAAAAAGAAAACACTCTCAGGCAGTCATCACCGAGGAGGAGAAATGGTAGCGTCTCGCATGGTTGTGATTTGGCACAAGATTGTCTTATCACCACCTGTATGATTTCTAGTGGAGATTGTTGCTAAGAAACCGTGCAAATGGAGTTCATACATTTCGTTGGCTTTCGAAAGTTTCCTTCCAATACTCACGTTGACAGCATTCACACTGGGATCAGTCTTGTTCGGCTTGATCGTTCTTTTCCTGTTACAGTTTGAACTATTAACACTGGCAATCGTTTCCTTTCTATCATCAGTGGCGTTTGTTGTTCCTGCACCGTTTACACTGACATTGTTCATCTACTTAATCTAAAAATGTCTGGTTGCGGCTTTGCGTGCGCTATGCTGGATCTTAGCCTTACTAAAAACAATATTTAGACGGATAAAGCAAGAAGCGATGAGTATTTGTACTGATGTGGGTCTCAGAGATCACCAGTCAGCTGTGCTTTTGGCAAAATACAACAAGGCGCCGACAAGATACAAACTCTGAAGTACGGTCGAGGGCAGCTCATAGTATACGAAAGAAAAGTTCGCCGCCTCTATCGCTGTATTTCAGAAGAAAGTCAAAGGGTTGGTGGGCTTGGCTCAAAGAAATACTAAGTGATAGCAACATTTCAGATGGCGACAGGGCTTTTACAACTTGCCCAGACGGTTACAAATTGAACCTTTTAAATGACGGAAGATATTACGAACGTAGCTGTGAAATTTGCACGGAAAGAGGGTCAACAAGCTGTTCATCATCTGATGAAGAGACAATAAAATTCACCTCAGGATCTGGCTCGGATTCGTATCACACAGCGGATGAGTGGCTCGTTGAAGATTACCTTGGTAACATTATCCCAGATTATAGAGACCGAGAAACAAAGATGTATGACGCGCTTTTGGAAAGGGATTTTTGCACCAGCGAAGAGAAAAATAATAATTATTAAATGACTTCTCATTTTAAACGAATTATTTTTAATCATCTCCCACCTCCTAAGCGATCCCCCATTTCGAACACATTGATTTTTTTTTTCTTTAATTATTCTCCTCTTTCCTTTTCTCTGAAACTTTGAATCAAATACTTTATAAATTATACTTCTTTAAATAACAGCCTCTTCTTGCTCAAAAAAAAAAGATTTTCTTGGAGTATTGGAGGAAATACAGTATTGTAATTTGAACTTTGTTTTTCAAACTGTTTTGTAGTTTTTTATACATCTCCTTGAATTAATACTACCAAGAAATGTTCAATCGTATTTTGTACACATTATTTTATCAAGGTTCCATAAAACAGGGGAATTTAAAATTTATAAGTACATGTACAATGAATGATGAGA